AGCCCATTTCATTCAAAGAATTAAAGAACTACAATTGCAAATTTTTTACATAACAGTAGCATTTGGTTCCTTATAAAGAGATGAATAAATGAGCACACTCTTACTGCTGCAAAGCCAGGAATTGGAATGGCCATTGCTGTCAAGAAGTGGAACGTATCAGGGAAGGTTGGTAGATTATTCGACGTTGTCATGATTCTTATGGCATGGTTGTGCTTAACTTTTTGATAGGCTTTTGTAGGAACCACTCAATATTTTGCAGAAGGAAGTGTAGCAACGTCGTCGTCCAATTCTGATTAAACTTGCCGCTTACTGCAATTAAGGTGACGAACTGCTTGTGGTGTACGAGTTCGTGCCAAAAGGAAAGCTTGGACAGTTAGGTGGCATAGCTACTTAATATTACTTGAACAATGCTTAAATATCTGTCCCCATTGTCATACCAGTCACTTGAGTAATCCATGAAAATACTATCTGTTCTTCTAATATTCTGGAATCTTTTATAGGATCTCACTTCATTCGTCATCACAATATCTTGTACTCAAGTTTTTTCTACTGTTTGTAGTGTCAATAAGCCTCTTGGGAATTGCCGTTAAAGGAGGAATTATGCTACGTTGCTAAGGATTTTTATGATGGATTTACACTTGGTTGAATTTCATTGGCAGTTAGACAAAAAAAAAAAACTTCAAACCAGTCAATCTAGTTTTGTCACTTCATCATCTGTTAAAATTCTTGGCAAAAGCACTTGTACAGGTGGCTTGATCATCGAAGAAGTGTTTGACGGAGCACCTTTTACATGTCATGCCTAAATGGACTCTGCTTAACGGGGCCTGTACAGAATACTCACAATGGATGGATGGGGGTGGGGGGAAATTTTTATTTTTTTTTTCCAAAATAATCACCCATTCCCTCAAGCATGTCAGGATTTTGTACACGCCCTGTACATCGGGCAAAATTCCGCCTAAATCTAGCTCTTGAGAGTACTTTCAGTAGATCGGTGGACCAAATCATCAGTGATGTGCTGCCTATCCTTTTTGTGATGCTGAGATAATAAAGTTCTCCTTCCACTACAAGCATGGGGGTAAGGTCCAAATCTGGCAGCAAGTAAAAATGACTGAAATCTGGAAAATCATTTTGAAAGCTTCACACAAGAAAGACCTCTAGCTTTAAGCTGGGTTTTCTGAACTTGCAAAACTCTGTTATTATACTGTTGACTAGATTAGAGCATCTCCAATCCTTATCGTGACTTGTACGAGTAAAATAAACTGTTAAAATTTCTCTCGTGTAGAAAAAAGTGGGATTCTATAAACTGTTAAAATTTCTCTCGTGT